GTACGACGACTATTAGTTGTCCTACCTACTAGTAAAAGAAAAGAAGTAGAAGAAATACTAGGTAAGTAACGTACCGAACGACGTACGAACGACACGTACCACAACGAACTCTCTCTCTCTCTCTCTCTCTCTCTCTCTCTGGAGCTAATAATCCAGCAGAGAAATACTGAACACACCGAGAGTAGTATTGCAGTGTCTGCGCCCTGAGAATCCTTAAACGTGACGTATGCAAGTTGAGATCCTTCAGACTCCCTGAGACAGGCAAATACCCAACTTATAAAACAATGGTCTCATGTATCAGGTAGCCACCCTTAAGAACTGAACAACAGGATCTGACCTTTGCATTTCCACATATTGAATATCACCAGAAAAGGAAAAGAATTCCTTGATGTCCTGCTGTGAAGCACGCAAAGAGATATTGCTAACCTTAACAGTCCTCACCTGCAGCAAGAGATGTATTAAACTTCCATAGCTATTCAATGCTCTATGCTTAGAGAAAATATGGCAAAATTTTGACACAAAGCCATTTAAGGAATGAAGAGTTCTCTAAGGTATGGCATCTCATACTTGGACTTAAGTCAGAATAACAGGAAAGAACATACGGTATAAATGCATGCCAAAATTCGAAGAAACAGATAAGACATTTTCCATAATACATTGCCTAGCAACCATAATACATTCAAGAAAGTCAAGAAAAGGCAACCGACTGGCTGAAATAGCTTTCCATGAGATATGAAAGCCCCATTTCAGAAACAGATCAACACTATCTGAAATAGCTTTCCATGAGATATGAAAACCCCATTTCAGAAACAGATAAACAATATCTCTTGCACATACAACAACGAAATTTCAAGTTTATTTAAACTCTCACATCTGAAACATCAATTGTCCAATTCGATGTTTGATTCAACGGGAACTCCATCCCCATGCTCGGGACACTATGGTCCAATGGGATCTGCACAGGACATGGTGTATTAGGTGCTTTCAAAGGAGAGAACAAATAAGCTGATGTTCATCCCGCCAAGAAAATGCAGAATAGGTATAGCTCACAGTGGCATGATCTGGAAGAGTGAATTCAAAGAAACCTTAAGAAAATTTAGCTAGTGTAAACTATAATTTCTCACTTATACATCCAACTGAGTAAAAGGAAAATAAATGGGGATAAAAGATACTCGTAAACAAGAAGAAAACATTGGTCTGTAGGACAAAAAAAGGAGAAGTCATAAACATCAAAGAATACAACAATAAAAGAAAAGGAAAAAAAGATCGTCCTCAACATGTTTGGTTGAGCTTCCAACCAGCATCAATTGCATACCTGACTGGCAAGTTCACATGCCATCATGCAGCAAACCTTAACTTCTAAGACAGCATAGCTTTCTGAGCAACATGTATAAACATGTTTGAACTCCATTATCTGGAATAACTGGCACAACAAAACCTTTCTACATTGCTGGAATTTTTTGTGACAAGTTATGAATATTGTTGACACCCTGTGTCTTTATTTGCTAGACATTCTGTTAGAGGAATCAGTTGGAAACAATCATAGAAATTGCTGGCTACATTTCCTGAAGGTATTATTGTGACTAGAGATGTCAGTAAAGAGGCTCATGTACTGGATTATATGATTTGGTAACCAATAAATATCCTGGCTACTGAGAAGTGAGCTATGGCACTCAATTAAGGATTCTAGTGGTCGATTCAAAAAAGACAAAAGAAGAAAAATAAAGAGGTCAAACAGCAAGAAGTATCAGCTCTTTAGTAGGTTGTAACTGAAGCTACATAAAAGACACATCTGATTGTGTGTAGACAAGAGAAATGGCAGAATGAATGGGGCATCTGGACTCTGGGCAACATATTAGGTAAGTATTGTCCAATCAATCCATGAGACTGGTATCTTAAAATGCATAACGATTATTTAAAGCTCAGACTACGAACCTGGCAAGGAGTGACCCAGAGTCAGTGGGTCTCAGCCGAGTCTCAACAGATTTGGCTGATTATATTAAAGAATAACACAGTGAGCTCCGGAACAGATGAGACTCAGCCAGTTCCAAACGTCTTTTAATGGAACCCGGTGCCTGCTGTGTCCGAGTAACTCGAGCAAGTCCAATTCGGACTTGCCAATATTTGAAACACTGACACATAACCATCATCGTCAAAACATATTCTCACTGACACAACCATTATAAATAAATAAAAAATTGACACATGAATTTGGTTTTCAAGAGGTCTCATGCATATATCTCTAGAGAACATGTTGAAAATGTACAACTCCACATAGTGCTTATTTGCTGGAATACCTCTAGCAGATCTATACAAACTTTTAGAGATCTTTATTACAATAGGCATTGGCCAGAATATAGAAACATTTCTGTGAGCTTTTATAGAATTTCACTCTTGGAAACTATCGAATGTCATTGTAATGCAGAATAGATAATACTTCTGTGCAACTACTAGCTCTCCAGATAACCCTCATTCCTCGCACATTCAAATACACAAGAAGCAATTTTGAAAATATTGAATGCTTCAAATCCATCATTTTGTCAGGGAAACAAGAGAAAATTGTGATGCATTAATTCTTACATTCATTTTTAATTGAGTGTCTCGAAAAACCAAAATGGAACCCTCCATCATCCTGGACCATATCTATATGGGGCCTGTTCTCAGCTCAGTTGAGGTAACCCCACTAATCTAAGACTTTAGGACCTTAGTCCATTCTTCACTAAGAAACATTTGCACTCCATTATCTCCTTTCTCCATTGGTCAATATCCCATAATTCAAACCTTCAAATTAGCCAAATCATTTTTGGATGACACATCCTTTTCCATACTTGCAACCAATGTACAGAGAATCACCTCAACCAAGGTACTCAGCCCTTCACCAAGTTGAATAACTCGGCCGAGTCCAGCACAAGGTCTTTTGACCCTTAAAAAATAATAATAATAATAATAAACATGTATTAAAAAAGTAAATTGACACATAGAACAACTTAAAAAAAGTTAAAACGAGCTTAAAATTGTAGAGAAAATGGATTTGAAAAAATGATTTATAGTTTGGGTTATTAAAAAAAAACCAAAAAAAGGAAAATATAAAAATCGTGATGATGGCAAAAAACTCACCAATCTTTACCAAATACATCCAAATCATATGCAAAAAGATTATAAAACAATCCAGCATTTTTTAAATCTTTTTGGGAATGTTTTGAGATTTTTTTTTTATATCCCCGAATTGTGCACCCAACTCGGGAAAACTCAGCCTCACCTATAGACGAGGCTGAGTTACTGAGTGGACTCAGGCGAGTCATGGTAGACTGCCTGGAACCAATCTTACTCATAGTGCCCATTTCACCAGAGACAATTACCCCATATTGTGATTTTAAGATTTGGCAGTAGCAAAGCTGAATCCACTAGAGCCACAGCAAAGTTCTCAAAGTCCTGTACTAACTTCAGGATACACTTCATGCTGATTTATGATCAATAGCACAACGCATCTCCTATAAATATTTAAATACTCTAAACAAAATGGCGTGTCCTTAACAATATAATTGCAATTGTCCCAAGCTGCAACTATTTTAAGTAAGTCCAACCAAAACATACGATTGCCATGAATTATTAACGAGTTTAATGCTAAACCACTATTAAACATACATGTAAGGTTTTGCATATTCAAGGGAAAGCAAGAAGGGAAAAAAAATTGAAAGATGGGGTTAACTGATGTCACTGAACAATAGCTATTTTGAATCTCACAGGTAATGAACATTAACCAAACTCTCTGCAATGAATTAAAGTTCATGAATATAGCAATAAATTCATCAAAATAATTTCAAGTTACTTGAGATCCAAGCATTATGTTGCTTGCAAAAAAATGAAGAAAAAATCATTTGCGAATGTGAATCATTGAAACCAAAACTGCTTGAAAACAAATATTAAGCCATGAAATTCATCACACAAACCATCAACCCAATTCAAACATCTAAATGTGAATGCAAATAATTAAGCTTGTGGATCTACCAGCTCCAAGAAAGACAAACCCATTTCATACATTTTGACATGACCTCTCTGTCTCTCTCTCTCTCTCTCTCTCTCTCTCACCAAAAGTTTCAAATAATCATCCTGCTTACCGACATTGGAAGCCTCTTCTCTGCACAAGATCCCCAAAAATAAAAGCGATCGTGAAAACCTAATTTGCAGAGAGGATGCAAGAACGTGGGAGAGAACTCCAAACCCTAGATCTCTGTGAAGGTTGCAAAGAAACACTAACTTCAAGAACGAAAAGAGAAAGAGACATGAGAGAGAGAATGGTTCGGTTTAAGTATGCAACAGAGAATGGGGAAAGCGAGGAAGGTTGCATTTTTGGGAAGAGTGGAGAGGTCGTGGACAGAGTCTTAGAGAGAGAGAGGGGCAAAAGCACAGCCATTGGTGTTGTCTAGAGAGAGAAAGAGAGGGGTTTAGAGAGAGAAAGAGAGGGGTTTAGAGAGAGAAAGAGAGGGGTTTGGAGAGAGAAAGGTGTAGAGAGAGAAAGATGTGGTCGCGCCAAATTTCCGGAGAAAATAGGCAACGGTAAGTGGTGCTCGGCCACTAACTGACTCACTCCCACTCATTGGATTCTCTCTCCTCCCTCGCGCCACTTTGTTATGCTGCCATTTTATTCCTCGTTTCCCGCCTCTTTTCTCTATGGGGATATTTCCCGAAATGCCCTGCCCCCAAGTTCCATACGCGAGGTGACTCGGTTTCAACTTTCAACGCTCCCTCTCTCTCTCTCTCTCTCATTCTACCCCTTCTCATTTTAAATATTTTTTTAAAGGAATAAATTATTTATTAGAGCTGATAACTTAGCACCTTGATCATATTTTTTAAATTTTATTTTAAAATATCTTGAGTTACAATCAATAATTTAAAAGATGCAGTTTGTATAGAGCCTAGGCTCAAACAATCAAATTAGAGCCTACCTTCAAATAGTGTCGAGAAATGTGGTTTCAATATTGGAAACCTTTGAGATAGCCTTAAAATATATTTTTATGTTTATTTATAAAATTTAAATCTTCAAAAATAATGTATATCGACATATCTATGAAAACTTGAAAATCTTGAAAATTGACGGTCCAAAAATGCCTTACAAAATACACTGTTTCCAAAAACTTGAAATCCATTTTTTTCTCATATCCATACTTCTTGATGTCGAGATGATCAATTTGAATATATTTGGGCATCAAAACAACCTCTTCTAGTGAAATTGAGGTAAGCTCAAATTTGATTGTTTAGTGCTTAGGCTCTATCTAAACTTTTCCCTAATTTAAAACCCTGTGATTTCTTATCGCTGATTTGGATGCGATCAGTTTAAGACCAAACCGATTTTGGGGTGGAATGCGTCTAAGCCTAGTTTCCCCGTAAAACTTCCTTATATATTTTTACCTCTTTTTTTTTCAAGTTTAATTTATGTTTTTTTAGGTCCCCTCTAAATTTTCATCTTATAATTTTCTATTTAAATTTTCTATTTTAATTTTTATTTTATTTTAGTAACTGACTGCACTAGTCCAAACCCGATCTGGATGGCAAATGCAACGATTGGACATGGGTCAATGGGTGAAAGATATGCTTCACAGATCTGGGTTTTAAAACACTGGTTAAAATAGTAGCAACTCGATTGAATGATAAATACTTCATGTCTTGTGGTTATTTTCATATGATAATTTTATTTCTTTTTGGAGATTGAACTATGTTTTTAATGTGAATATTTTTTTGGAAAAAGTTTGTATAAGTTGCAACCTTATACTGTGGAGGAAAGGTGCATCTAAAAAAATCCTACAGTGGATAATGTTCCCACGTAGGAGAACCCTTCAACCGATCATCTCGACCTTGAGATGAATGGACATGAAGAAAATAAAGAATTCTAAGTTAAAAAATAATACATCTTGTAAAAAGTTATCTATACCGTATATTTTCAAGATTTTCAAATATTTATTGATCTACTCGATGTGTATCATTTTTTAAATTTTAAATTTTCTAACGGAAGATAAAAAGAGATTTTGAAACCATAATAAGATTTTTCCAATCCAAAACGACATCTCTAAGTAAATTTTATAGGTGCATCCGACCTCTACTGTATAAGGAGGCAACCTTATACAAACCTCACCCTATTTATTTTCCGTGCCGCTTTCTTTTCATCCTTAGGCGAGGGGAACCACACAGATTGCATAGTTGAGTTTAAGTTTTTCAATGGATTGGTAGGGACCATCCTTGAGGAAATGGACGGTAGAGATAAATAATGTACCCATGCGTTCCATTTTCTAAGCGTGTAGGATTATATGCTCTTGCATGAGCCCATTGTACATTTGCTCTCATGGTGAAATTCAAGTAGGGCCAGTTTTCAGGATCTTGTATTTTTAGGATGTAGTCCATTTAACCTGAAAAATTACATATATATATATATATGTTATATTTACTAAATTATAAAAATATCTCAAAGTATCGGTTATTACATGTATGTCTGTTTTTTCAACTTTATAACATTTTTTTTAAAAAAAAATAAAACGGTCCATTTTTCGTTTTTCAAAAACCGAAATCTTTAAAATTTTAGATTTTTCAAAACTTGAAATTTAAGAATTTTCGAATTTTAAAAATCTAAATTTATATTTTTTCAGTTTTTGAAAGACCGATAATAATCCCCTCGTAAAGAGCTCTCTGCCCCTGATTGTCTATGACTGTTGGGGAAAATGGACGGCCCCATCCTGCCTCGTGGTTGCAATCCGACGGTTTGCAAGGACAAATGTAATTTGTTGAGTTATTAGAGTAGGAGTTGGTCATATAGGGAAAATTGTTTCTTTCGCAAATATGTTTAAGGTAGAACTTTTCCTGATTGGCGCTGTTTGTAGGGTAAGAAGGTGCTTCTTTTCGAAAAATTTACATAAAAAGCTATTTTAAAAGAATAAAAATTAGTTTAATGTATTTTGTATTTTTTTTTTTTGCTCAAGTCCCATTTTTAAGAGATTTAATTTTATGCTTTTTTATGTATGCAGTTTTTATAAGGCCTAGGCCTTATGAAGAAAAGTAAAGCATCATCGCTAATTCTTACCTGGAAAACACTTTGGGCATGAAAAATCCCTAAAATGACTCTAAAATCTATTTCCATGAGAATTATAAAATTTCTAGCACAAAAAAGGTACAAATCATGTATTACAATATACACTAAATTTAGGGTTTGAATTCCTATTTTTCTTTCACAATTGTAATAATCAAGGTCTAAATGATCGATTTGAATGCTATCTGATGCTAGAACCATAATTTTGGGTGAGTCGAGAGGTGAAGCTTTACTTATTTTTATAAAGCCTCACCCTTATTTAACCTTTTCTTTTTTTTATATGCATTAAATTTGAAGTGTGCATACTTCTCACGGTACTGTTAGAAAACTACAAAATCATTCATTGGTATTTAATAATTTTATTTTTTTCAATTTTTCTATTTTGTAGTTAGTACTGATGTGTATTTGTGCACAACATAGACGCCCCAAATTTGAGCTTAATTTGATATATAAATAAATAAATAAATAAAATTACAATACGTGATGCACTCTCACAAGGTGAGACTTGAACATAAAATATAAACTATAATAGATTATTTTCTAATTCCAAATATAAAATGAGACATTTAAATAAATTCCCTTTATTTTGACAAATGCATTAGAATTGGATTGTGTCATGTGAATAACCAATAGCTTAACCATGAAAAAGTAAATTCACTACTGTTGACATCTCAGTTAAGGGGAAAGTATGCAATAGTTCATAAGCTATGACCATAAGTATTATAATTCCTCAATCAGTTGATGAAAGATGATGAAGAAATTGTTATTGATGAGACAGTGATAACCGGGCACTTTTGATATGGAGGAAATAACCACCAGAGAGAATTCTTTCCAGCAGGGCTCCCTCTTTGGCATGTTTACTTCATGCGAAAAGCAGTAGACACTGTAATACGTAGGAAAGTGCCTTCCCATGCTTTCCCATCTTATAGCTCTAAATTGTAAGGAAGAGTTCCCCAACTATTTAGGCAAGAAAGTGTTCCTCACAGTGATGGTAAGGTTCATTCACATAAGAAACTTTCCCATCAGCATGGAGATTCAGCTGATCATAATTGCCCATCAAACCACAATTTTTCTGTAGCATACTTAACTTCCTGCATATTATATTAATAACAATATTTCGAAGGGAAATTTATCAAAATACTCATTACTATTTAACATTTTGCCCATTTGTAACCTTTCAAACATGACCATGTATTTTTTAGTTGGTCTTTTGAACATATATCAAAAGATCAAGCGCAAGTGTTAAAATATTATCCGAGTAATTTGATAAATTATCGTATTTTATTTTAAAATTGCCAATGCTCAAAATCATCTAACTAGCTTGAAATCGATGTAGTGGTGGTTCCAGTCTAAGAGCCGGCAATTTTGTTGAGTTCACACTGGTTATCGCAACCTCTCTTCTTCTTCTTCTTTTTCTTTTTTTACATTTAAAACAAAAAATCCAAAGAAGCAGCAAGCTGTCAAAAAATCCAAAGAAGCAGCAAGTGGATGACCACCCAACCCCGTAGTCCCATTTTTTGAACACTGGTTAACACCAAATTTGATGAGAATTTGACACATTAGACCTTAATAACGTGAATTCCTCTTTCCTGTGTCTCAACAATTCATCTGACATATTCAATAAGTGGGAATCCGAAATCCACTTCCAAGTCTTAAAACACTCCAATTTTCAAACACTACTTCTAATTATTTAACATTTGACATTTTATCTTAGGGGTAATTTCATAAATTGAAACCTGATTTTGATGCATTTTGAAATTTAATTTAAAGAATATGACCTATTAGAAATTCGATAAAAAAATAACATGTAAGATGTTAAATAATTCAAATCTTAAGTGTAATTCGACAAATTTCCCAAAATAGATTACGAACAAATTATGAGATCGACTTTGGGCCATCGACCATCCATTCCCAGTGTTGGGGGTAGAGATTAACTACCCCATGGAATAGGATCTACCATATAGCCATAGTGCATGGTATGAGAGAGATAGTGTCACAGATTGGAGGCAAAATATAATTTATTAAATGACCATAAACCAATCAACATATCAAAATTCATGAACTCTAATTACATCCATACACATATTTAGACATTACAAAAATTCATTTATTCTGAATACATGAATTTAAACACAAATTTGACCGTGATATGTACACATGAGAGAAATTGCTCACAGGTACATTTTCTATAGCTTCAAAACAATCGTCAACACCAACTAATTGACTATAAGAACAAATGAATTAAATATGAACATGGTTACAAATGCCATGAATCATGGTTACAAATGCCATGAATCATGGTTACAAATGCCACTTCACAAATCCTGGAAATGGCTTCCCCGATCTTTTGCTTTCGATCTATTAATACCCACCATGATAGGTAAGTCAGAATATTCACCCAGACATATCAGTGCATTTGCAAGCTAGAAAAGAAAAAAAAGAACACCAAAAGGCAAATAAATTTAATGAAAATAAAAGAATAATAGTAACATGAAACTTAGGAATGAAAAAGGAAGACTATAGAAC